TTTTGCGCCGCTGAATGTTTGTTTCGGAGCTAACGACCAGATCATCGCATTCAGGCTCTCGTTGCTGTTCTGTGTATATCCTCCAACACAACGTGTCAACAAATTTTCGTTGCTCAGCTCTTCGTATATAGGTGTGATGGCCTTCAGCACGTCGCTAGAGAGAGCCGGTTTGTGTTCATAATCGGACAGATTACCTTGAGCTTCGATACACTGGCCCTTAAAATTACGCGCTACCAGCGTCCTCACTGTTGAAATCGCTTCTGACTATAAAATATACCTAGGGACATCTGTTGATCGACTTGGAGTATTAGAAATGTTAGAAATTGAATTGCAAGTCACTACGCTGTACCCGCCGAACAGATAGGAATTTGCCGCAGGTACGCGTTTCGGAGCGCTTCGGTAAAAGGTCGAAATTTCAATGAAGAAAAATTTAGCCGGCTATAACACCTAATGTACCTTATTTTAGAGGGTTCAAAGTATTTTTTAAGCCAATAAACAAAAAATTGATTTTTTGAAAATTTTACAGTAGATTCCCCCTTAACACTTTCACAACCGCTGACACCAATGTGGTGTCATGGGCAGGCCAGTCGTTGTATGCCGGTGACACTCATGTGGTGTCATTGGTAGGCCAGTCGTTATTTGCCGGTGACACTCACGTGGTACCATTGATAGGCCAGTCGCTATTTGCCGGTGACTCCCACGTGGTACCAGTGGCAAGCCACTTGCAAAACTTTTCTTAGCACGTCATAATAATGTTAATTGTTTCATGAATTTACGTAAAGTTTTTTCTTCCAAAATATTGCCGGCCACTGGCGACGTTTCACTGCGCTAACATGCGGTTGTGAAAGTGTTAAGGAACGCGCCGGCCACCCCGTGTGCCGCACGCAACCTCACCGTCGCACCGCGAGCCTAGGACGGTCTCCGCGTCTTCGTAAGTTTTTACACAATTTAATATTTATTACGGATTTACACCACTATTCTCACTTTCGATTAAATTATATAATTTATTTCTATATTGTCTCTAACTAACTGCGCAGTAATATGATGGTACTATTATATTATTGTACTTTGTCGTTTATGATAAATAAATCAACGAAGTCAGACGCGCACTCGAGGAGAGCGATTTTCTGTTCCTCCGCTGCAAACATTGCCGTTCCTTCTTCCTCTTTTTTCCTTCCTCTTCTTCGTCCACCACTCTCTGAACACGGTACAGGGGGAGGGGAGAGAGGGACAATGCATTGAACTGTCCGTCCGTCGGACGTGTGTGAGTAATTGAGTGTGTACGTGTGTGTGTGTGTGTGTATGCGTTGAAATAAAATCGACCACCGTGCGGGAATCCGGCACTAAGAATCTTTTTATTATTCCAATAATATGTAAATATCGAAGTGATAGTCACTGAGAAACATACACGTGTGTAATCATCCTGCGTCCCGCTGTGTTGTGCGCGCGGGCACGGAATTGTACTAAATATCAATTGCACTCTCACTTATCTCGAGTTTTTCTCGCGTTCTTCTTCGTAGTAAAAGTTAAAAACCTAAGGAGCTGTGCTCTGATTTTTCCGCAAAGGCTCGTGCCGAATTGCGATTCTACCCTCCCTCCCCCGTCGCAGTACTTCCATCTTTTATTTTTTCCCCCTTTCCCCCTCGCTCGTCGCATCATCACATGACACTTACATTGCTATTATATTCATATTGCGAGTGGCTGTGCGCGAACGGCCGTTCAACCTGTCCGCTCGAAATGTAATCACCCCTCTCTTTAACACCTCTCTGAGAGAGACACCGAGATTACCGGTCCCCAAAACTGAAGCTGTCGTGCCCTTTCCTCCGCTTCCGGTGGCCGTCTACGACGCGGGAACCGCGTTTTCCCGGTTTCCTCGCGGTCGCAGCAACGAGCGAGAAATCGTATACCGAGCTGCTCGAACGGCTTGAGGAAACCGTCCAGGTGTAGCCCCTTGATCAAGCTGCACAATTCTCGCGCACGATTCACGGACGACCCCGGCGAGTTCGGTGGTCTCGGATACGCCCTCGAGCGCGGGAGAAAGGGACCTTACAAACCGAATATCACGTTTCGTTTATTCCGCGAATAAACGTAAAGAAGTCGTCGTCGCGCGCCCGCAGCCGGGGAGGCGCGTCGCCAACCGAACTCGACGATGATCGGAACGTGCAATTCGCACGATAATTCCTCGCTCGCTCCCGTCGCGACGCGACGGCCACAGGAGAAAAGTGAACGATAACACGTCGTCGTTGACGCTTCATCCTTTCGCTTTCACGTCAGAATATGCAAAGCTCCAATCGTACGTACGTGTACGTACGCGCGTGCTGCGATCCGGTGTGACTCGGCGTTACAAATTCATTGAATATTATCTAGGTACGCTTATTTCGTATAATTACACGTTACGAGTAATGATTCCATTCTTGGATGCGCGCGTAACAGTAGATTCGGAACCGTGTTACATTCTCTCCGAGATAAATAGCAGTCGGTAGCGCAATCGTAGACGTCACGTCTCTTTCCCTAAATACTCTTTCTCGTCGCTAGACGCTTCTAACTCATCTTCAGCGGATCGAGAACAGGCAGACTTGTACAAGCTCAACGTAACAGTAATGATAATTTTTTTTTTTCCATAATGCAAGCGGTTCCCGCACTCTTACAGAGGGAACTAATATAATTACGTAGCGTGAAACAAAAGCGAAGGGGGTACATCAACGAAATCTCCTATAGAAACATCGTATCTAATGTGTGATGTATGTTGTGTGTGTGTGTATATATAGATATATATATATATATAGATATATATTTAAGCACATACGCCAGAATGTCTCGATTCGACTGCGAAAATGGGAAAGCTTAATGCTATATGCCTTATTATCGTCAAGTGAACATAAAATATACGTATACATACATACATGTATGTATATGTGTGTGTAATGTGTGAGTGTGTTATATGCTAACATCCTCCAGCGTGAGTCCGAACGATCGGTCGCACGGCGCGAAGCGTGCAAATAACACTAGAAAAAAAATCAATGGATACGAGTTTCTTGTTTATTATTATCATTATGTCATTATTATTATTATTAATATTAGTATTATTATTATTATTATAGCGCCTAAACACTGTCTTATAAAACATAAATCGCTAAAAAAAGCGACGATTCACTTAAATATATATAAATATATATATATATTTTATAAGCCCCGTTTTTTAACGCTACATGTCGGATTCAGTTCTGGGGAGCGGTAATATAGATCTGAATCGTGTAATTCATCTAATCGCCTCTTTTGATCCATTTCTGCCTTTATGTATAAAAAAAGTAGTGCACGATATCGGTAATATCCTACATATATGTCTTCATACATGATGCAAAGTGGTGAATGGTACTCGATGAAATGATGCTATCATACATTTATGAGAGAAACAAGTTCACGTGTGTGAGTATATATGGTATTTGTGTGTGTGTGTATGTGTGTGTTCTTAAGGGAATACAAAATTCAGCTGCCTTCTCCGGGGTGAGTTAGTTTATTTTTTTTTTCCTTTTTAAATATCGATGTGTAAATTGTGTGTTCGTGTTATTCACGAATCTTCCTATTATATACATATACATAAAACGCAGCTAACGTCTTCACACGCGCCTCTTCGCACGCCATCGGTACTGTGTCTTAGAATTTAGATGTTTTTCCTTCATTATTCTTTTTTTTATCGCACAAATTCGGTGCTGTTTTTCCTAATTCACACGCATGTTAATATAAATTCCTACCTATAATAAACGAAAAACAAAATTAAGATACGTAGCTTTCGTTTCCACGCGAAAGCTATCACCCTACCTCGACCTCTCGATCGTCTCGCTTCTCGAGTCAGATTACCGTTTGAGGACTTCGCTCGAGAGACAGGCGATCGTCGTACATGGCGTCGACGAATTCGGCAATATATAGCAGATAAAATAACAAACCTGCCTCGGTGGCAACTGCGATGCACGTAATCGATTACCGGGGTATCGATAAATTTTAATTGCACACCATTAGGTATATATACATATACATACATATATATATATATACACATATACATATATACACATATATTGTATATATATATATATATATATATATATATATAAGTCGCTTTCTCGCTGACTAATTTATGATGCTCGATTGAATATCCTATAGAAAATATGTTTTCACACTCTCACATTTATATTTCGCTATTGTGCATTCATGTAAAAAATTCTGAATTTCTCACAATCTTTCTTCCTATTTCTCTCTCTCTCTCTCTCTCTCTCTCTCTCTCTCTCTCTCTCTCTCTCTCTCGCTCGCTTTCTTGTTTGGTTTCCCGACTTTCCTAGAACGTAAAATTCGCTAAATACAGTGTCAAAGGGAGTCGTCCTTTCGTGACGTACGCGATGACAAACTTCGGCGAAGTTAAAAAATGTAGTCGGGCCCTGCCATGTCTATTGCCCATCTGAACTTGTCCCTTTGAGTCTTGTTGTATATCTTCTCGATCGGCACGTTGTGCTTCTTGCACCTGGGGGAAAAACGTGGAAATTCGTCGAATTACACACGGAAGTCGAAAGCACCGAGAAAATACCTCGTGAGAAAGCGTTGTATCGTTTCGTTAAAACGCACATACGCGCGCGGATAAAAAGAATTCCAAAATACAAATAAAATGAAACAAAGTTACAAACTTACCATGCAACAGAAATTCTGGGATCGAGATAGTTCAGCTTGGAGGTACCCAGCGCGATCTCCTTGTTCTCCTCCCGGTCGGTCGCCTGCACCTCCAGCTTCCTTAATTGGTCTTTTAACCGATCTAGCTGCTTCTTCTTCTTCTCGTATATTCTGTGAAGATATCACGATTATAACATTAGTAACGCCAACGCGAGAACAACGCGAGAAGATGCTTGATATAACCAGCCAAGGCGTTCGGTATTTTCACACACACAACCACAAGCCTATCGACAACGTACACTTTTTCCTTCACCGAACCGTGCTTCGCGTCCCGCTTGGCGTCTTTCACCTGCAACTCTGTCTCGGCTATCGTCTCCTTCTTAGCATCTATCTTTAACATCAGGTTCTCCATCGACTTAGCGTGCGTCTTTGGTACGGAACGTTGATGGTTACACAGTATGGCGACGGCGCGGTTAGCTCGATTGTACGACAGGATCTTCTCCGCCTCCGTGTCGTTAGGATCCGTGAGTTTGTCCAATTGTTGCTGTAGCGTCCACGACGCGTTGTAAGTTCTGAATACTTTAGCGGTGAGACCCTCCATCAGTTCGTTTAAGTGTTTGTTCATCACGGTAGTGTTGAGCCGATCGAACAGATCGTCTCCGGGCGATTTGTTCTCCATGAAAAGTTGCAGGTTCTTGAAAACCCGTTTCTCCACCGGCACTTCGTTGTAATATCGTATAGAATCCTTACCTGTGGGATTCGTTTCGTGAGAATCGCGGAATCGACAACTACGAAGACACTTAAGGAGTACAAATTGATAGTGATTTCCTTGTTCCTCCTTCAGTCTCAAGTAGAGTTCGGTAGTCTTATTATTTTCAGATTTAATCAACCCTCTAAATGACAAGGTGAATTTTCAAAACATCAAAACGTTTTTTTCAAATTGCGTTTGTTGCAATTGTTTAAAGTCAGTTAGTAAACTTTATTGTATTTCTCTTTTATCTATATCAATAAGCAGAAATTTTATATTATTACTTACTTCACTTACTTATTTTGCACATTAATTAAATGAAAAACGGAACAAAACAGAGCATACGGTCGGATCTAATCCCTCACCATTAGAGGGTTGACTAAACTTTCAACGTTAAAAGACAAGATTTTATGAAAAAGACAACGTTCAGTCAAAAAACCTTCCTTATCGGGGAGGAAGTACTTTCAAATTGTCTGAAGAATGCTGAGGAATTTCTCAAGGAAAATACATGAAATTTGTGTAATATAAAACCCGTTTTTAGTAAGAAAAAAAAAAAAAAGAATTCTTCGGGACAAACGGTATCAGAAGCCCGAGCCAATATTACCTAAAAAGTCAAATACAACTACGTAATCCTTTCCACCGGAATGCTCGTACAGCGTAATGTGTTCCACCCGTAACGAGCAGCAGCCGACGGTGTCCGCCTGATCCTCGTCCTTCTCGTTACCAGCCCTGAGCGCCAATTTATCGATGAAGTACAAAGCAACGGCGCGCTGCCTGATGCGCATCTCCTTGCTCTTCCAGTCCTCCCGGTACTCGGCGCGGATCTTGTCGATCGACTGCGCCAGCTTCCGCGCTGTCTCGTACTTCTGCCAGTCCTTCTCGCCCTTGAGTTTGCTAGACGGGTTCAGCATCACGTACTTCACCTGGCCCTGAATGTTTTCCGTCCAGGAGGCGAGCCAGGTGACGTTGGGATCGTGCCGCACTTCTCTCCACTTGTGACCGGACGGTGGCTTCGGGATCTTCGAGTCCTTCGAGCAGTTAATCAGAACATCCTCCGGCACCACTCGCTTTTTCAATTTGCCCATCTTCGGATGCTCGCCACGGCCGCGGAACAGGCCCGGCGGCTCGATCTTGAAGTTACCGATCTTCTCCTTGTGGCCGTCGATGATGCAGAAGCCGTACTCCTTCTGGGTCTCTTCGTTCTTCTCCTTGATCTTCAGCTTCTCCTCCTTCGTCATCGCCTTGCGCTCCTCGCTCTTCTGCACGAAGTACGCGTTTATCTCCTTGAAGTTGCACTTGGACAGGTCGGTGATTTTCGCACGCTCCGACTCGGTCATCACGTCCCGCCAGTCGGTAAAGAAGTTGTTGTTAAACACAGCCTTCGTGGTATAGTCGTGCTCCAACATGCGCGCGTAGAAGGTCGCGACCTCCTCCGTCTCCTCGCTCAGTTTCATCTCCTTACCGTTGTAGTAGAACTTCACGGTGGGTGGTAGAGGCTCATAAAGCGGGGCAAACACGGGTCCTTTGTGCTCCAGGAAATGCCACTTTGTGCCGTCGTTTTTCTTCTCTTCCTCCCACCTGAGCAAATAAAGGAAAAAAGGTTCTCTCAATACTAATTAACGTTAAATTATAGAAATCGAGCGCATCGCGATATACACGAGATCGAGCAGTAACAACGTAGCGGACATAACCTCGAAACAAGGTTCACGTTTAACCTCGTATTATGAGCGTATCGACAGGTACTTCCGAGTAAACGCTTCGTTGGAAATCGAATCACTACGTTTCTCATTTGATTTTTCATTGTATACTATGTCATTATTTTTCTTCAATGTGCAAACAGAATCGATAACACGGCGCAGCGAGGGAACACAATATGGAGAAATGCAGGTTAGGTTAAGCCTCGGGCGAAGGTTAGGTTAGATCATCGGGAGCGGTCACGTGATCGTCCATAGTAAACATTGCAGAGCAACATTGTCCATACCATTTCCACACTTCTTGCTCTTCCTCTTGCTTCTTCTTCCTCGGACTCGGAGTCTCGACTTTCACCCCTTTCGCGCTGTTCTTCTTCTTCTTTGGTTTCTGTGACAAAAGTGGTGAATTTGAATATTCCGATGGACGCTCGGATTCAATAGTAACATAAGAGATGGAGTAATGTCACGAAAAGCTACGTGTTGCCCGTACCTCCTCGGCCTCATCGGACTCGTCCTCGTCGAGATATTTTCGTTTCTTCTTCTTGGCCTTCGGGCTGGCTTTCTTCGCCTTCTTGCGCGCCATCAGTGGCAGATCCTCCTCGTCGGAGGACTCGGCGTTCTTCCTCTTGACACTTGGCGACACCTTAGACCTCGCAGACTATGTTAAACGTGTGGTTCATTCGGATTATAATTGTAAATCAAAATACCATGCAATTAATAAAACAATAGAGAACGCAAGTGGGGGGGAAAAATCACTCGTAACGACACCCGAAACGACGAATATGTACCAGTGGCTTGTCCTCCTCCGAATCGTCCTCCGTTTTTATCGTGGTGTTGTGCAGATCCGAGAGTCGAGTGTCGTTCCCGTCGGTCGAGTCTCCGTCCTCCTTCACTGCTTCCTCCTCGTCATCCTCTTCTTTGATGTAAAGCGGTTGCTCGCCACCGCTATCATCGTCGTCATCTAGATCCATTTGCGTCACCGGTTCCTGCGGAAGCCCACTTTGATATTTCATCCTCCTTATCTCCGCGAAACGTGCGACGGTATACACGTATGCACACACACACGGTTGTTGCGGATCGAGTGAGGCTCGCCACAACAGGACGACTGAAGTGCCGGGTTGTCAGGTGAGAAAGTCTCGCGCGGAAAATTCTCGCCGCCATAACTTGCGGCGCACGCCGCAGGGTGGCGCACCGCCCACAAGCGACTTCGCTCGCGGAGCTTATATAAAAACGCTCCGCCGGAAAAAAAGCTTAGACCGCTTTCGTCTCTCGTAGCATTCAGGTGGACCGAGCGGTGGTCGTTACGCGCGCGTTTTTTTGATTCTATGTTTTGGAGATTGAAAGGTCGTTCTTGGTGATAGATTAGCTTTGAGTTCGTTTATAGTGGCAAAATATAGTTCAGAATTCGTGGCCATATATGCCATAGAGAAGAGGGGGGGGGGGATGATCTTTCGATCGGACGACCGTAAGATTAATCCGCGGAGATGATTCTCCGACAGACGATTTAACCGGATCGATAGTCGATTAATTCGGAGTCGAGCGCGCAACATTGATAAACGCGCAATCGTCCACAGTGAACATCGTCTACGGGAACGGCAGCCGCCGTCTCCCCGCGCGCCGGCGAGTTCCAGGGGGG